GCTGATGAAAACTCTACCATTGGGCATGCGCAGGTGGTGTACCAAACACGCCTCTGAGAACTGTGGAGTGGGCATTACCCTCAAACACTGGCAAAAACAGGACGATGACCGTTGCCCACGCTGTGGAGCACCAGAAGACACCACTCATGTCCTACAATGTCATGCTGAGGGATCTGATGAAGTCTGGAGCGCTCACTTGCTAGAGCTGGCCTCTGCTTTTGGAGAGCTTCACACCCCCCTTGACCTTCACATAGCACTAGTTGACCGCCTGAACAGTTGGCGCAATTCCCTCCCATTGCTCCCCAACCCCCAGTGGGATGCCACCCTTACTCAACTTATCGTCTCCCAAGACTGAATCGGATGGAAGAACTTCTTGGAAGGTCTCCCCTCCATTCGTTTTGCCCAGTATATGGATTCCTTCTACAAACGCGAGGGATACTCCATCACCGGTACCACTTGGACTTCCAAAATCCTTCGCAAAACCCACATGATGGCCTGGAGTCTATGGGAACATCGGAACAAGATTCTACACGACGACAAAATGCCCCGTCAGAAACTAGCCCTCAACCTGTTACACCAAGCAATTGCCACTGAGTATATCAAAGGTACCAGGGGACTCCCCTCCTGTTATCACAACTACTTCAAACACTCACTCATCTCTCTCCTCACCAAACCCAAGCCCTACAAACAGTCTTGGCTCCAAGGGATACATACTATACGCGATAGAGAAACTCGACGCGCCCACGAAATCACTGAAGACAGAAGGCATTCAAGATTATATCAATGGTGTGCCACGGGCCGACTCTAGCCTCTCCATCTCCCATCCCTCGAACCACATCCTCAGAACCAAACAACAACATTAGAACATGGCCTTAGCGCGCCACACTCCAAGGAAAGCCTTAGCGTGCACTCCTACAGGAACCAACATTGAATGGAACACCATTAAGGGCCTTAGCGTGCCCGTGACCCTTCTACTCGAACAAGGGGCCAGTAGCGCCCCTTGTCATTCTGAGTGAAGTAAAAGCAAGCCCTCGGCGCAGTAGACAAAATAACAACTACTAATCTTTGTGACAAACAAACAAACTTACTCCCCGGTCGTTGGCTGGTCAACAATACGCCTATTTCTGATCCTTATGGTGCTGAACAAGTGGCATTCCAGGCAGATAGATTTCGTCTTGGCTTTTCCGCAAGCCGAGATTGAATGCGATATGTACATGGAAATTCCAGTTGGTTTCGAGTTCAAAGGCGACCGCAAGGGTCACGTACTGCAACTAACGAGAAACCTCTACGGGCAAAAGCAGGCTGGGAGAGTCTGGAATCAGTTCCTCCATGATGGCCTTTTGGCACGTGGTTTCGTACAGAGCAATGTTGACATGTGTGTCTACTACAAAGGTTCCGTGGCACTTATGGTATACATTGATGACGGCATCTTCATCGGTCCGTCACCGGAGGAGATACAGAAATGCTACGACTCGATAGCGAACGATTACACGGGTGCCGAAGGAAATGTGCACCGTGGTTACAACATGATGGATGAAGGGGACCTCAGCGATTATTTAGGAGTCAAGATAGAGAGGTTGGACAACGGAGCTATCAAGTTGTCACAGCCACACCTAATCAACAACATCCTCAAAGATCTCGGGGTTCGCGCAAGGATCTGACGATCCGAAACACGTCACCAAAGGAAAACCAACGCCAGCACCTTCTACACAAAGCTGCATCGAGACTTGCATGGAAGGCCGTACGATGAGGAGTGGAGCTACAGAGCCATCGTTGGCAAGATGAACTTCCTAGAAAAATCAACGAGGCTGGATATTGCATACGCAGTGCATCAGTGTGCTAGATTCTCTATCGATCCTAAAGAGTCCCACGCACAAGCAATCAAGCACATAGGACGCTACTTGGTGACTACCAAGAAACATGGGATCATATTGAACCCGAGGAATCACTCGTTTGACTGTTGGGTGGATGCTGATTTCGTTGGCAACTGGAACAAGCTAGACTCTGCGGTGGATCCGGGAACTGCAAAGTCCCGAACGGGCTATGTCATTACGTATGGCTGTTGCCCAGTGGTGTGGGCATCCAAGATTCAAAGGGAAGTGGCCTCATCCACAACAGAAGCGGAGTACTTGGCCGTCTCAGAAAGCATGAGGTTCGTCATACATTTGATGGAGCTCATGGAAGACTCCAAACGCATCGGCTGGACTATGACAACCAACGCGCCGAAGGTGCATTGCAAGATATGGGAGGACAACTCCGGAGCCCTTGAGATGGTGCGCTTGCCCAAGATGAGATCCAGGACGAAGCACATCAACGTCAAGTATCACCACTTCAGAGAGTATGTGCGAACAGGCAGAGTTACAATCCACAAGGTCACCAGTGAGCATCAACTGGCGAATATAGCTACCAAGCCCCAACCTCGGACTTTGTTTGAAGCACAGAGAGAGGGTCTCTTGCAATGGGCTGCCGAGTTCATGGCAGCAGAGGAGCTCATGTTACCTACCCAGCATCTGAGGGCATGTGAGATTATTGGCATTGCAGGTCACCCTGCAGCACAATCTAAGTAAACAGCATGCATGGCAGTGCACAGGGCCTCCTCTTGGTACATGCAGAGGTTCAAATGAAACTGTAACTAACAGTATTTGGAGACCCAGAAGATAGTAAAACACAGTAAACTATAGCTCACAATTTGATAATCCTTCAGGCTTCCCGTTGGCTTGGAATCCTGAAAACCTTACGTGAACGTGCGTGCACTTCCAAAGGTGGATTAGATTGCTTGCTATGTTTGCTGCCATAGTATTGACCAGGAGCGATTGAATGCATGTTGATGGCTCCTGTTATTGATTGAATAATTCAATCGTTCTGGTGTTTGATCCCATCGTGCGTGGTGTGCTTTTCGAGACTACAGACCGGCCAGCAACGAAAGGTGCATGGTCGAGCAACACCTCTCAGTCAAAGCACCAACCCAGATCAAGGATCGACAGGACACGAAAGTGCCCGCAGATCCGATGATGTCGTCAACCAACCAGCTAGCTAGTACACAGATAGCATCCAGTATCTATATACCCTGTAGCTAGCCAGCCGTTCATCTCTAGCTACTGTAGCTAGCTCTGGATAGCTTCTAGTCAGATCTCAGGTTTTTGTGCAAACCTTTCCAGTTGAAGCAATCTTTCAGATTTCGGGAGCGAAGCACTGTGTGACAGGGTATATAGCTTTTGCCGTGGCTTGCATCCCTTGTATTGCTCTGGCCACCATGGAGTTGTCTTATGCGTACGATCATTTTGACCCTCGGATCCAGAATGCCGGCAATGGCAACAAAGAGTTATGCCGTGTCCTTGGCGCGTGCCGTGGGGCGAAGGTGTCCCCTGCTACTCTTCGACGTCTGGGGGACGAGCTGGCACCTACAAAGCCCCAGAAGGCTGCAGCTCAAAAAGCAATCGACCAGGTTGTTCGCGCTGTCCAATCTCTTCCAAATTTTGGCGTCGACAGGTGCTGCGTGTCAGGATCGTTTGGGAAGGGAACAGCACTTCGTAATTTTGACATAGACCTTGTCTTGTTCCTGAACAACGAACAGCCTCCTTTTACTAACAGTCTCCGGGTATTGACAAGGCAGTTGCCGCCAATGCTTCCAGGCCTTGACATGGAGATGACAACACCTTACTCAGTGCAGTTTTGTTTGGATGGGTTCAATTTTGACCTCCTTCCAGCACCCAACTTCACAAAAGCTAATCACAGCGATAAGGAGCAGATGCAGTACAAAGAGTCCATGAAGAAAATTGCAGCTTTGGATGAAAAAAGATTCGCCAAGGATGTACGATACTGGGGTCCAGCTTTGGCCGAGTCCACTGTGAAGTATATGAAGTCCCAGCCTCCCTTTGTGAATGCTGCTGTCAGGCTGGCCAAGTTATGGAAGAAGGCTTGTGCGGCGGGACCCCACACATTTCCCAGGTGGTTCTCGTCGTTCGTTGTCGAGATCATTGCCTCTGAGATTGCAACGAGGGAGCTGACAGAGAATCCAAACAACGCAAGTCTTGTACGGGTTCTTACGGAGCTCCTTAAGGCTCTAACCGAACCTCACAAGCTTTGCATCATTGGAAATAAGCACAGAGATAGCGATATTCCCCTTGGAGTAAAACAGCAACGCCCTCTGGTATTGGACCCTGTGAACCCAACGTGCAACCTGGCAAAGCAGTTGCGTGACTGGGCAAGCATTCGCCTGCTTGCTGCGTCCAGCTTGAAGCTGCTACAGAAAGATACTGTCACGATTTCTGAGCTGTTTCAGCCCCAATTGAGCGAATCTCTTGGCTTTGCTTATCGATTCTGTAGCTTTCGACTGCGTTCCATATCCGCTTCGGCCTGGATTCAGAAGCTTGAGGTACGAACCATTCGCTCTTTGAATGGCAAGCCCATGAACCCGGGTGTTGAGTGGCGTTCCCGAGACAGGCTCGACACGAGGGCGTTTCCAGAGAACATTCGGGACATATTTTACGGTGATCTCCACGACTATGTCCATGTTTGCACCACTGCGTTGCTCTGGCACACGAAGGGCAACCAGGGCCGCGAAGTCGCCGCAGCTTCCGCTTTTGTGGACGATATGCTGCTGCAGGTATTTGGCCAGGAAAAGTGTTATTGGCGTCCCACTAGCGAGACGCATGATTCAAAGGATGTTACGTTTACGTTTGGTCAGGTCCCCATTCCGTCTCCCAAGGATGATCTTCGTTTCATTTCCCTCAAGCTCTCTGTGGATCTCAAGGAGGACCAACTTTACCGCGTCGCATACGAGATCCAACGTGACTTGAACAGGCAGGGAGAAGATATGGACGATGGATATTGAATACGTAGTTGAAAATCACTGAGTTGTGGCAAGCAAGTCTCCACTCCCAGAATGCTTAATTAACTGATACAGGAAGTATACAGTGGTAGGGCGAGATCTTCAGAACTTGATCCCAGGTCATTTCTGAAGCCCGTGCCAAGGCCACGGTGTATCGTAGATGTACAGTCCAGCCTGTTTGATTGATTGCATGCAGCTTTCTCTTGTGACTCCACTCTACTAGCTAGGAAACCTTGACTTCACTATAATATGTTGTTCCCTGTCCTCTACGCATTTGGGATGCTGTATAAAAGAGTCCCAGAGACCCCACCAGGAGAGTTAGTCCCAACATGCAATGGACACCACCAACAAGGTCGTGCAGCTGGCCAAGATCAAATTGGCCACAGAAACACCCAAATTGATCATGGAGGTTGCCATGGTTCCCAACAAGGGATCCAATTCAAGCTAATATCGGCCGTGGTGGTCACAATGTCCGTAATCAGGAAAAACCCCAAGAGATTCAAGATCCATCCACCAACGCGACACATCCACATGCGGGCCGTTTTGGCGAATTGTGCCGATCCAATCATGTCCTGGGCGCTGACAGCTCCGTACAACCAATTCAGCCACTTCGTATCCTGATCCTTGTTGGCTTTGCCACTGGTGAGAATGTTGCTTTTTGACTTCTGTTTCTTGGACAGTCTCCACCCATTGATAAATTTCCACCTGGCGTTGGAGTGACATGGCTTGAGGCCGGGACAGTCCAAACAGGGGATCCTTAATGGCACTTTTTGAATGCAGCATGTGCATCAAGTGAACCAATTTCCGCGATGGAGATGAGTGTTGGTGGTATCGTCGGCATTGGGAATTTCCACAAAGGCTTCCAAAGCTTCATTCAAGCTTCGGTGTGTCTTGATGGCCCATTCTTCGGTGGACCAGAGTACCAGACAACCCAAAAGACCACAAATGGACCGATCAACAATCCATGAAGACTGTTTCCAACTTTGTCACTCGCGCTAGGAACGCCTTGGTAGCCAACTGTTGTTACAAACGAGTTGCCATTTCCACCGCCGCCATCACCTAGATTTCCACAGCCGTTACTACTAGAGACGAAAACTCCTCCAGCTCGGGGCGAGGCCATGGTGTTTCTACCACCCCTCAGCTTCACCATGGCGCTTCTTTCTAATGTACCGTATTAAAAAGTGGACTCCTTCCTCCAGAACCGTCTGTGAATTCTTTGCAATGGGCAAAAGATACAAAGGTAGCACAATAACGGCTCCCATCCTTGCCTCAGACAGGGAATGTTTATAGGTAGTTATGGTAATTATTAGGTTACGGTGATGGATTTTACTAAAATGATTTACTGAGTTACATGTAATGTAGTCTGTTATAGCAGGCTTTACCCCATCTATCCAACTGGATAGCTAGCCAGCTGGATCCAGTCTTGCTTCCAGCCATCACAAAACGGGAAGCACTGGCGCCGACAGCAAACGCAACACACTCTCAACATACGCTGTAGTCCCCGCTGGCCCATAGTATACCTTCCCTCATAATAGTAACGCAACACTTCCGAAATGACCAAACACAGCCTCTGGAGTCAACAGGATATCTGGGTCCAGGGTGTCCTTCCATTCTTGGGTACGGGACAGTATGCTTTTGTGGGAGCTGTCAACAAGCAGTTGAATCTGTACTACAAGCTTTACTGCTCTGCTGTGTTGGAGCAATCTCCGTTGTATGTCAGAGATGCTCGGTTTGGTCCCCGAAGACGTGCAACCTGCACCGTCACCTATTTCTGTGCGGCGTTTTACAATGTTTCCTGTGCTCACTATTGGAAGTCGGATGGTTCCAACTACAAACATCCCAAGCATGACTTTGTCAGTGATCAAATTGCGAAACTGGGGAATCTTGCCGTTCTTCAGTGGGCCTTTGAAGAAGGATTTCCAATGAGGTTCTCCACTAGCTAGCAGATATTCAAATGTTGAAATGTTTGCGGTCACGTGGATGCCGGTTGGGAGCAGAAGCAAACGTGCTCGAATGCAGCCAGAAATGGTGATTTTGAAATGCTAAAATGATGGGCCAGAGAAAATGACTGCCCATGGGACGGCGCCACATGTGCACATGCTGCCGCAGGTGGTCATTTCGAGATCTTGAAATGGTCCAGAAACAACGTACTACTAGTATGTTGATGGGGTGAGAGCACATGCAAGCAATGGAGCTGAGGAGTGTGGAAACTTGGCGATGTTGCTGAATGGGCCTGATAAAATAATGGTTACCCAGAAACTCTGATTATTTTTGGCCTTCTTCCGAGAACTACCAACTTGGGACCTTTAATGCAACTGGGGTTCTTGTCCTTTGCAGCAGTGTGATATAGTCGGCGTCTTCCAAAACGAATCTGTCACCTTCGAATCTTGAAATGTAGCTGGGGGTGTCCTTTGCCCAGTGTCCTTTGCTCAAACAGGGCCCTGCAGCAAGAGGACATCCGGTAACTATCAGTAGCAACCTACCATATCCGTTCAGCTAGCTAGTAGGACCTCAGTCTTTTGTCCAGTTCTAGTACGCATTGGGATGCACCACCCATAGCCCATCTGTTCCTACCGTAGCACTTCAGTGGTTCCCTTCAATTCCTCCTGCAAGCTTTAGGACTCCTACTGTACTTGTTGAGTTCTGCATCATCTCCATGATTCCACAGGATGTTTCTGATGTGGTATGATGCCCGCAATGTAAGAAGCAGAGCTTCCATATGTTTGGTGTTCTGAGTTGCCAGCTTGAGCAGCTTGGGCAGCTTGAGCTCACGGACACGCAACCCGCAGACAATATTCCACGACATCATCCACGCCACAGAATATTCGAGATGGATATCGAATAATCCTGTTTGCCTCCTGTCTTTTTCGTCGCAATCTGATTGGGTCGACACATGGGATGACGTCCAAAGGGGCTGTATCGGAAAAGAAGAAAAAGGCGGCAGGATGGCTCCAGACGGTGACGTGGTCCAGAATTGTTTGACACAGCTGGGTTGAGTTCTTTGACCGCTCAGATCTTATCTCGCACCTCCTCTTGATGGGTTTGCAGACTGCAGACACAACTTTGTTTTCCTTTTTGGCACCAGCCATCTGTTATTATTATACCCATCCAAAATTAAATCATCACCATGAAGTCTTTCTCTGCTCTGTTGCTTTTGGTCGCTCCCCTTTTGGCATCTGCCTTTGCTCCTGCCAGTTTTGCCAGCCGATACTCTACCGAGATTGGACCTCACCGTATCGGTATGTCTTGTCTTTCAATGAGGTTCTGGATGGAATGACGTTTTTTTTTCGCGTACTCACCTCCCTCTTACTGTATTGTATTATCCATCATCATCCATCGACCCGAAAGTGCTCACAACAAGCCGATAACTTGGATGCCATTCGAGTGACATACGAAGAGTGCAATGTGGATGGGGAGTGTGTTATTGTCCACGGCGAACTGGGCAACGATGGTCGATGGGCGGACGACAAGCACGTTCGAGGGGATATTGCCTCCCAAAATGTTCTCATGATGGAATGCGACGATACCGAGTAAACGAACGAATGCTGGGCGAAGCAAACAGAAACTTTTGACAGAACTTTCAACATGGAAGTGCTGTTCTCGATCGGATGATGATGAATGTATGAGTGACACGATAATTGACTGATGATGATGGCTGTGGAGGAAGCGATCGATTTGTTTTAATGTTGTTGGCGTCTATATTACTACCATAGCTGGGGTTTGTTCCTTTGAGTTCATCCTTACAAGTATAAGCACACCAATAGCACATTTTTTAACCGTTACCCAGAATAGCAATACCTCTGATAACAAACTGCACAGCAAGTTTAGCAAGGCTGACTGCCTCTTGGACTTTTGGTACATTGACTTGGAGAATGGCGCAGGTCTTACTGACTACACTTTTCCCATGCATCCTCCGTGTGGTTTTCTGCTGCCAGCACAAAGGTTGGACGCCTGATTGTGCCAACCCCCCACCATTGTCTGGTTCGTTGGGGGGAACTATCCGGAGAGATCCTCGGCTCATTCAATTTTATTTCAGTAGTAGTACGGTAGAACACAACAGGGGAAAGTGCTGGCTGCCCGCCCAACAAGAAGCACAACTGAAAACAACGCAGTCGCCTTTCGAGCTTCAGCCAGGTTTGTGAAAGTGCTGATGATAGCAAGGTCAGATCCATGCTAATGGGATAA